CATATGGAAGAAAAGATCTGCTTTGAGACCAGATTGTGGTATGTTTACTCATATTGAATAACATACAAGGAATATTCCTTCTGTGGCATAAAACACTCTGCTGTGAAGTGTCACAATACAGAAGTTTGTATTTATTCACACTGTTAGGTATTTGCCATTTATTTACCTGCAGTAGTAATGGTGTCACATCAGAATTAATCTGGAGTTGGATTGCTTAATTTATTTCCAAATTCTACCCCATGATAATTTTCTTGAATCAGGGTTACTCTTTTATTTACACAAACTGGGAACAAGCTCTTACCTCTGCTGCATAGAGATTAACAAGAAGGCTTATTGAGGTTTCTCATTTATAAACATTATGCTGTTTAGTTTATCAGCTTAAAAATGGAACTCTTTAAAATGGATTGCCAATGCCACACTGTATTCAAATAGTGTTCAAACTGAAAAATTGTTTGCTTCTTAAGACTGATGAGACACTGAATATTTTACTCACCCTATTTCGCCTAGGCAGTAGCACAGATCTCCAAAGTGTGAATGGTTTTGTGTGTTAGAGGTGCAGTTACTCACCCTTGCACCTTGGAGAAGAGAAAGAATGGAATTTCAAGCTTAGCTCTGAATATCTTCCTTGAACATACTGAAGTTTAACTGCAAATTCTTCCACCCTTTCCTGCTGTAGCCACACTGGTTCCAAATTCCACGTAAGTTCCTGTCAAAACAGCTGAAGATATTGGCTCTGCAGCATTAAACTACAATTTTTTTATTTGTGCCCAACATATGTATCCACACAGACACACAAGAGAAAATACAAGGGATGTTTGAAAAGCATTAACCCACTTTACCTAGGAAAATGCCAATTTGCATAGATGATTACTATATGTACAAGTAAGAAAATGTAATTAAGGCCCTTATGGTAGACATCACACACATGAGCCTTCCATTAAATTCCATAGGAGGTTGTTGCTGAGGTCTTGATCCTGGCTAAGTCCTACTCCTTGATTTTAGCCCAAAGTTAATGCCACATAAAGGGGAGACATCTTTTATTTTAAAAATCCTGATCCTGCAAACAGTTTTACATACATGTATCATCTGCAGAATCAGAAATGCCCAAGGTTCCATAATTAAAATATGAAAAAAAAACCAAAAATATGTTCTTAATCTAAATGGACTCTCCTAATGGAAGTTCTATCATTCCTCCGAACATATCAACTTAAATACATTTATACTTGATGCAAAATATTTAAAATTAAGAAATGAAAGTGCATATCATTAACTGCTTAATTATAAATCCTTTAACAAAAAACTTCTAGCTTATTTCTCAAAGGCAAATATGAATAAAGTAACTGTTAACTTCAATTGAATTTCAATGTAAAAAAATAGAACTTCACTGGGGATTTGGATTATTTAGACAGATAATATTTTGTGAAAGAGAGAATGTAGAATGCCACAACCACTTTAGAAAAATACAGCACTGGCAGTTTATATCTGTATACATTCTATCTATATAATCTGGTGCAAAACTGTGGATATGCCCAGTAACAGAAGATTCTTAGTTCATTCCCTTTTTTCAACCTAACGTCTACACTACTCTCTTTTTGATTTACTAGCAGTTCAGTAAAGTCTCTGTTCCCAGTCAGTATTCATTAATTTTCTTGACAATAAACTTGTAAAAAACCCTGACAGATCAAACTAATACTGAGTCAGAAGATCCATGAACATAGGGCAGCTTCACATATCAAATTTGAACTCATAGAACAGGAAAGTTTAATATTTCATAATAATAAGGTAAGCAAATAAATTCCACACTTGTCATGGAAACAGACACTCAAACTAACAGCAGCACTTGATCACACTCTAGTCATGTAATGTTATCCTTTAGACCCTAATTCTGCAGTGAAACTCCCTCAGCATTGTAGCCCAATCATACCTCCTTAAGCATTTCTGGATTACTTCTTTGGCACTGGGACTTCTATCTTTCTCCTGGGTTATAAAGCAGGAAGCAGAGTGTTTTCACAGCACAGGCAGCGGCACATAGAATGTTTTAGTCACATCCAAGTATAATTATGGGCAGGATTCTGTCCATACACTACTCTAGTAGAAATCTTTCACAGAAAATAACTAAGTGTTGAAATTAGCAGTAGCTTCCCCAGACCACTGCTTTGTCTGTAGCTGCCGACAGAGAGTGGGGAGCTTGGCAGGCTGAGGCACCTGATCCCACCAGATGCTCTGTGTGAGACAGCGTTCCCCCAACCCCAGCAAACACGGCAGGAGTTACAGACGTTCAATACATCACATAAACAGGTCTATAAACTCTGGCAGTTTTGCACATTACTTACCTGAATATGAAAGACACTTAAGTGAAATGAGGCAAGATAATTAAGAATGTGCACATTATAGCACAGACCAAGAGTCACTTCTTCTTGTCATACCCTGCTTTTAACCTGAAATCCACTATACAGATCAATAGCATATTGCCATAAAAAGCATGCTATGAGGGTTTTGGTTTAGGCTGGTTGTTGTTTTGGGTTTTTTCCCCCCTCATTTTATACAACCATAACACTTGAAAGAAGAAAAGAATCCTAAAAAATGAAAACGAAGTCCTCTGGAGACACAAGATGAGGATGGAGAAAAAATCTTATGGTAGCAAAACCTATTTTGCTACCCATCCTTAGAGTCCTCTCCCAATACGCACAACCAATAAGCAGTAAACATTCTGGTCTTGACAGGAAAACATTTCACAAACGCTGTGTTTCTAGAGGACACAAATTGAATTTTTAATAAAATGTTAAGTCTCAAAGCAATCCAAAAGACTGCATTTCAAAAAGAGAATCATATCTAAGCAAAAGAAATTCTATAGAACTGCTACTCAGATAAGTAACAGAAAGCTTGAAACGTGACATAAAAAAAAGACTGCAAAGTATCTTGACATTGCTGTCATATTACAAGTCAGTACTTCAAGAGCAATGAACAAGATGTAAATATTTACCCTAGGTAGCTGGACCAAAGAATGCAAACAGATTCCACAGATATAATGCAATTTGTCAATATCTTTAGTGCTGGAAATGGAAACGTTAACTCTGCCAGGCCCACTGATCCTGAATGATGAATACAATCAATTACATTTTTTTATTGTCAGTCATTCTTATAATTTCCTTTCTTTGCAGCTGACTGCTCCCTGTCTTCTGATTCTTGTTCCAAGGCACTGAACAACTTTTATACTTGCTATTTCATTCAGCCTTCTAAATAAATTCCCCACTGCCATCTCAGGTTAACGCTACTTGTTCCAGAACTTGCCTGTTTTCTTCCCATATTTTCTGAGTGTTGCCTGGGTCCACGGTCTCCCATCTCAGAAAGGTGACCCTTCTGGTCTCTGAAGTGTCATTTTAAATCTCACTCTTCCTCAAGCTCCACAAATTTTAACCACCTCCTAACAATCTGATCCAAAGTTCACTGGTCAGCAAGAGCCATTAAGGTCAATGGGCTATGAATAAGGACTAGATTGCTGCCAGTAGCTCTGGACTGAAATCTAGCTAAAGAAAAATAACAAAAACTATATGGGTACCTTTGTTGTTAATTACAGACTATTATGTGAAAACAGTCATGGCAGTACTATACCCTAGGTTAATACTAGTTGTTACTATTTCCAATATATTTTCTTCAGTCCTTATGCAAAGGACTAAGACCTTACATTGTTGTACCTTTATCTGTGCAAATTCAGAGTGATGCCAAAGGTCGCTGACAGAGCTTAAATAAATAAGCATACACTGACTCCTATCATTTCTTTTGCATACTACAAAATACCATTCTACATCTAGCTGGATAAGACAAGGAAAATTGTCATGTTTATGAACCAGGTTAGTAAATCATTGCCAAAAAAATCCAAACTTAAAATGGGTTTCAGAGAAAGAGTATTCAGAAAGCACTGTGAAAAGTTTAAATCTAGTATGTTTTAAATTCTCACTAGTGGGGACATAAAATTCTGTTCTTCCAAGGAACCTCTGTAATCCCATTATTAATCTAACAGCAATTTGAAGAAAAAGCATTCCAGAAATCAAAAATAACACTATGACTCTACTTTCTTCTTCTTGCCTTCATTCATAAACATTCTGGTACTTATTCCCTCTTCCTTTAATTCTCCCTGCCTCTTGCAACTTCAGGTCTCTAATGCATATTTTTCATAAGAAAAAAAAAAATAAATTGCTTTTGCCCACCTTTCCTTCTCCTATCAGTGTTTTGTAAGTGCCTTGTTGTAAAGCTAATGCCTTTCTGCAATCTCACAGTGCTCCCACCAAGTGGTACAGGGAAATCAGTTCTAACAGACGATGTAGGCAATCCAATGTGCAACAATAAGATACACAAACACCAGGCGGAAGATTCTGCTCATGTTTGGGAAAAGTTATCATCAGACAGCCACTACTGCCTATATAAAGCTAAAATATTACACATTTATTAAAAAGTATGCTGTGGTTTGAGGCTATTTCAATAGTAATTACAATTCACATTTTTACTCTGTGTTTTACTAAACAAGGTACTTTAGGGAAAGTGATAAAAGTAACACTGCCTATTACCACATAATTTTGCCACAGGTATTAGCAAGGACAAAGCCAATTAGATGACCTTCACTGAAGAGGTGCAGCTTTAGGGGTACGGATTTTGGTCTTTTTCTTATAAATATATATTAAGATGTTTGTTATAATGAAGTACACTCCACCCCAGCAGCATGAGCTATACTAGGCAAATGCTTTGTAGAAATGAAATTACTGTTGCAACAAGGTTGCTTATGACATTGTTTAATACAAAAAAAAAAAAAAAGTTGGGACCAGTACATTGATAGAGGGTGGAGTGTATCATATATATACACAAAAGAGGGCTACTACTTCTGTCATCTGACATTGATGTGGGAAGAGAGAACAAAACCAAATGCACTGAAACATGCAAAGACAAAACTACAAGTTGTATGCAGCTCAGAATAATAAAAAGAAATGCCCCAGTATACTTGTTTAGATTTTTTTAAAATATATTTAATTCTCTGATCTTTCACTTCAGAACTTAGAATTAAGCAATGAGTGAACAGGATCTGAAATACAGACAAGGCATTGCTCACATCACATTAAAAGGCATCTTTTAAATGCTGCCGTGGATTTCTAAACTTACACTGAACAGAATTTTTAGTTGCTGGGAATTTGAAATGCAAGATGAACTTGGCCACATTACATCTAAACCTTTAAGTGGAATTGTAAATATGCAATAAATTGCTGTTTCGAAGAGGCAACATGCAGAATTCAAAATTGTTTCTTGCAGGATTCTGTTGACCTGTGTATGAAGAGATATCGAAGTAGTGGTACAAAATCCACAGCTCAAGCATAAAATCCTACTGGCTGGATCTCTGAGTATACTGTTCTCCAAAATACATCACTTCCTTTTAACCACTGAATTTAGTTTTAGGAAAACAGCTGCCCACCAACTTTTTTCAAAAAAAAAAAAAAAAAAAAAAAAAAAGCAGGGAAGGTGGGAGGAAGGAAGAGGTGGAAAGAGCTTATGCGTTAGGATGACATTTAGCAGAGAGCTGCAAACAGAAAGCAAAGGCAAATATTTCAAATGTGATAGATTTCAACCAGAAATGTGAGAGTATTTTTTCCCTAGTAAAGAGATCACCAGAGTTGGTTGGGACAAAATTTGGGTTGCAGCTACAGGCTGAACTAGCAGTGTGAAGAAACAAAACAAACAGGCATTTATCCTCCACCCCAACACCCCCTTTCTCTCCCAGTTAGCAAAGTATGACTGATGCTTTTGATTGGCCACAAGGTAAATATTAGCTAAAATCTCATTTAGCTACATCCACGGTCCCAGATGCTTAAAACTTATCATGGATTAAAGCCATGAAATAAAAATTTAAAAAGAAATTTCAATTTGAAATTTTATTGGCATGTTGCTAGAATGGTCAACATCAATTGACAGGAGAGACTTTGTCCACATACTCTGAGAACAGCCTTCCTGCACCTCCCCCCCTCTTTTCTTCCTCTTTCTCGCTCTTTCAGCATTAATGCTATTAAAAGCCAAACAAAATACTGGCTATGGGTGTAAAGAATGCTGGTTTTTTTTTTTTTTTTGGAATGTTGCCATGGATCCTGCTTCCAGTCGCGTCCCACGGAAGGAGGGTGCAGCCTCCTACGGCAGGCTGGTCTCCCCGGGCAGGGCAGAAGGAAGATAGCCACGTACTCCTGCTCCTCCCTATTCCTTCCCATCCACTATGGCCAGGTCTTTGATCACCCTCAGTTTGCCACTGGCATCGATCCTGCGCTTCTCGCGTATTAGATCCTCCAGGCTGTGGAACCTCACCGTATGCACCTTGTTCTCTGCCAAGTGGATCTTGAGATAGTATTGCTGCTGGTGCTGGGTGCCAGCAGCCGCCTGCAGCTCCCCCCCGGCTTTGAACTCCCGTTTCCCGAAGCGGCACCAGGCGGCGAAGCTCTCGGAGTTAGTCCAGCAGATCTCGTCGCTTTTTAAGCCCAGGTGCCCGCAGGCGTTCTGCACCACCAGCTCCGCCACCAGCGGGCGGAAGCGGTACCAGCTATTCACCACCCGGCCCACGTTGCCCGCGGCCGCCTCGTACAAGCTGTCCTGGCGGATCTGCCCCTGGTGCAGGTGGATGATCTGCCCGCCGCCCACGTACACGGCCCAGTGCGGCGGCGGGTGCTCCGACGGCCCCAGGTAGAGCAGCTCCAGCAGGTCCCCCGGCTTGCAGAGGGCAGGCAGGGCTGACACCGAGTAGACGCTGAGGTCCCCAGCCTGGGGGCCGCTGCTGACCTTGGAGAAGATGCATTCCTGGCCGCGGAAAGCGGAGAACTGGGTCTCGTTCAGCACGAGCTGGTGGTGGAGGTGGTGGGTGGGCGTCTCCTGCCCAGGGCTGCCGGAGCCCTTCACGCCGTACTTGTCTGGCTGGCCTCGCTCGTCCAGGTCCTCCTCCTCATCCGAAAAGAAGTAAGCCACCCCGACGCGCAGCTCGTCCTTCTCGATCCCCGAGGGGTCCCCGGTCGGCAGCTCGCTGTAATTCAGATGGGTGATGCGATCCAGTTGATTTCCCATCAATGACAGGGCGAGGCGAGGGCAGGAATCGCCGGATCTAAAGGAAGGTGGGGTGGGCAGAGACAGAAGAACAAGAGATGGGAAGGAGAGTGCAAGCAGAAGGAAGGAAATAAAGAATGAAAGAGGGGAAAAAAAAAAAAAAATCAAGGCACATACAAAAGATTTCCGCGATCCCGCCCTAAGCCCCCATCCCTCTCCCACTCCTTCCTTCCCCTTCGTGCAAGGGAGAAACTCCCAGTGCGGACCCTTCCCCCTACCCCCGGGGTGCGGGGCAGGGCAGAGCCCCGGTCCGGAGTGCCGGCTCCCAGCGCCACGGGAGGAGCCTGCTCGCCGTCCGCCGGCTCCGCGCGGGGACACGGAGTTGCCCCGGGAGTCTCTGCTCTGCGAGGGCAGAGGGCTCCGGGGGCTCAGGGAGGATCCGGCCGGGGGATCCCGAGCCCTCCCTCCGCCGGCACGCAGCCGAACCGCGCCGGGCAGCGCTGCGTGCGGGGAGGCGACTGGAGGAGCTCACGGCCCCCGAGCTACCAGCTCTTACCCGCCCGGTGCCCAAAGCTCGGCCGGGACCCCGCAAGGCACAGGCAAAGAGCAAGCGATCGGCATCCCCCGCCCGAGGGGTCCCTCCCGTCCCCTTCCGTACCCGTAGTCGCCCAGCGCCAGAACCCCCCTAAACTCCTTTAAAGTCGTCCTGTCCCCATGGGCGCCGCAGAGGAAGCACCACCCGTGCTCGCCGCCGCCACCCGCCTGCTCCGCCCGCGCCGCTCTGGGCTTCCCGGCCCCGCCGGCGAGCCTAAGTACCGGCGGCGCCGCTCCCGAGCCCGCCCCGGCCGCGCTCATTGGCCGCGCCCGGCGGCGGCGGGGCTGAACCGCGCTCTGCCCGCCCGGGCCCCGCTGCTGCCGCTGCCGACACGCGGGGCCCTGACCCCCGGGCTGCCCCGGACCGGCTCCGGCCCTCAGGCTGCTCCGACCGGCCCCGATCCCCGGGCTGCCCTCTCCCAGCCCCGACCCTCAGGCTGCTCCGACCGGCCCCGATCCCCGGGCTGCCCTCTCCCAACCCCAGCCCTCAGGCTGCTCCGACCCTCAGGCTGCTCCGGCTGGCCCTGGGGCTGCGGCAGGCTGTGCGTCCCATGGGAATGGGGCTGGAGATCTTGCCCACCGCGTGAAGACGCTGCCAAGCTACCCCTACACCGGGATAGAAGTAAAAAGGGAAGAAATAAAACCAAATTTTTAAAAAAGGAAAAAAAAATTCTATCAAGCTAACCTGCCCAGGAGGGACTCACGTGGCCAAGAGTTGCTCTGTCCCTCGAGGCTGAAGTGGGTGCCCCTCACCTCACTTCAGCAACCTCAAGTTGCACCTGTGCGGTCTGAGCTGATATCCTGGGATTCCTTTTGCTGAGGAGAGGACAGGCATTTCCAGAGGGCTGTTCCTCTCGCCTGTTGCACCTCCTATTTTAGGACGGCATGAAGTGCCTTAAGGAGGTGCCTGTCTCTCGCCGTCACCTGGATGACAAGTTGGAATGCTTGATGGTTGGCAGTAGGTGAGATGACTCTGTCCTTCCACATCTGGACAAAGTAGCATTTGTCCTCAGGTGGGACTAGAAGACATGCTATGGTTTGTCTTAAGTAAAAAAATGAGACTGTCTGGCAGGAGCAGTCAATTTCTTCTGAAATTGAATGAAATCTAAAAATCTGTCATCTGTAGTAACTACTAACACTTTTGCACCTAATTTTGCACATTGTGGAAATTGAACTCAGAAATTATTTGTTCATTTGACCACTCTTCCCCCATGAGACTGTGTCAATGATGGGATTGTAACCTGGTTCCTCTGTGTTCTTAGTCTTGCTATATAACCGTGTGATCTTCTGAGAAGTGAGAATTTATATATTTAAGACACTTCATGAAAAAAATCTAATGACATTGTTTGGTTCAGATATGAATCATATTAAAGTGCCATTTTTAGCTGGAAGTAAATCTACTCATTTCTTTGCAGTGAAAATAGTTTTGTCATCTAGCCATAAGTATTTTTGCCTTCAGTGTTTATGGATAATATCTCTCTTCGCTGCTGTCCTTTTCCCAGTCTTCAGGTTTAGTTAACTGAGAACAATAATCCCATCACTTTATTCTCATTATAGAGAGACGCACATCCTTAAATAAAAATAGTGAATTTCGGTTTTTCAGGGTTCAAGCTGTTTATCTATGTTCATATGGATCAAATGCTGAGTTTCTTAGATGTGTTTACTTTAAATTACCCTTTTTCCATTCAAATATTCCATTCAAATATCTGTCTTTCTGAAATGGCATCTTCTTTTTCTCATTAATTTTTTTAACATATGCAAAGGCATCACATCATAGAGGGAGGAGAAAAAAAAAGGTGTGTTTAATGAAATTCAAAGACTGACATCAGTTATTTTTTCACTATGGCAGTTATACTAATCTGTTGATGGTTACAGACTTCCCATGTCTCAAACTCAGGGGTTACAGCCTGACACTCAGGAATTAAGCTGATTTGCAGCAGTTAAGGATGCAACATTCATGGTCTGTAGAATCAGAAAGATAATTTGAAAAAAAACAAATTAAAGATTGTTTTCTAATACGTGCATTTTAAAGTTTCAGAGGACTAAACATAACAGATGGATGTTATTTATCTCTAGAATTGTGTAAATACTTTTCTAATGATTGTCAGAAATTATATGTTCTTTTACAGAATGACCTTCACCAACTGCAACATTTTAAATTAAATTATGAGGACACTAATAAGTTTAGAGCTAAGGCTGTTTAAATATTTTGATTTTTTTTTAATAACTGTTAATATGCTTCATTGTTAAAGCTAGTCCAAGTTGAAAGCCATTTTCTGTAGACATTCATCGACAGTTTCTGTTTTCTAAACACTTTACATTTTTCCCGTTTAAAGTCTGCATCTTTTTAGGTTGCACTCGCACAGTTCACACTTCCCACGTTTGCCAATCATCAAGGCTATGTGGAGTAATTTTTAGATAGTTCTAAACAAACAAAACATTATTTCATCCTTTACATGCAAAACAGTGGAGAACAGACTGCTTCAGCAAACTGCAGGTGCAGAAGGATGGAGTCTGGGTATAGAAAAGGCTCTGCCCTTCGAACTAGGAGGAGTATGTCCTGCCAAATTTTAACCATTTTTGAGCAATCCCCTGTGGTTTTGCAAGCCTGCTCAATGAGAGTATTTTGTCTCTTGTTGAAACACTTACAATCCCTTACAATTCACCTCTCTTCATGACCTTCATTCACCTCCAACACCTCCAACACCCATTTCCTTGTTTCATTTCAGTTCTCTTCTCTGTACACTGTCTCATCAGTGCTTTGTGCTCTACCACTATCCCTCAGGAAGAAATTTTCTCTCAGTTTCTCTTCAGTCACGGTTTTATGATAGTGTCAAGAAGTTGACTTAAAAAAAGAAAATGCATACAAAAACTCCCATCAGTCAACAAACCAACAAACCCCTGTGATTAAAGGACACTGCTGGAGATGCCTGTGTTGTCTGAGCTAATTTGACTAATAAGTTTATTATCTGCTTTAGATATTTAACTTCTTGATGCTTCCTTAGCAAGGCAGTGAGTGCAGGTGTGGCTTCTCTTAGATGATGGCAATGGCAGTGCAGTATCGCTCTGTTCACACTTCCATTGACCAGCTTCAGCCTCATTAACCGGGTCATAATCTCTTCTTGCACCAGCACATGGGAATTTACAATATTCCTAATGTGTTATTACTGACCCTAACGATTTTTTTCTGCATTCCATACATAGGAAAGAAACCCAATACCATCATCTCTGGCTCTGTCCTGGTCTACTTTGAGAGAGTGAATTTCTATTTTTCCATTGCCATTTTTTCTTTTTGTGCCTTTTTCCATGCTTGGCATTTTGTAACTGTTGCATTTATATTTAATTCAATCCAGTGAAAACCCTTAAAATATGTGGCAAAATAGATGCTCAGTAGCTTATTTTTTAAACCTTAATTTTTAAATGTTCTTTTCATCGTGTCTTGAGCTGAGCTGTGGAGCCTTGGACCCCTGTTGCTAAAAGTGGAGCTGAAACCACTGTTGATTTTAATGAGTGGAGAACATTTGTGCAGAAAAATTTAAGAACACATGTTTCAAAAAACAACGAGAGAGAAAAAAATTGACAATAAGGGTGGAAACTTTTGTATCTATTATGAACTTTAGATTGTAGAAATCTGTCCATTACAATCCTATTAGCATCAAATCTCAGAGGCCCAGAAGCTCTTATCTATTTTAGGCACACTACACTTGGTAGAAACTAAATACAGTTTCTACATCTAACTACTCTGGGAGAGTCCTGAGGTTTTGGATAGGCTGAGGCAGCTGGGCGCATTCAGCCTCGAGATTACAGAGAGAGATCTCATCAGTGTCTATCAGTATCTGAAGGGAAGATGTCGAGAGGATGGACCAGGCTCTGCTTGATGGTCCAGACAATAGGACAAAAGGCAAGGGCAGAAACGGATGCACAGGAAGTTCCACCTGAACACCAGGAAGAACTTTTTCACTGTGCAGGTGAGCAGACACTGGAATAGATTGCCCAGAGATGCTGTGGAGTCTCCCTCACTGGAGATATTCACGAACTGTCTGAACACAATCTTGAGCAAATGTGCTCTGGGATAACTCGGTTTGAGCAGGGAGGTTGGACCAGATGACCTGCTGTGGTCCTTTTTCAGATTTTGGCCCTCCAGCCTTGGACAGCTTTTGCCATTTTTATGCAGTGATGGTGAAATATAAACTGTGAAAAGAAGATAATTGTGGTCACAGTTTTTCTTTTGCCTCTTTTCTGCTCTTCTGCTGGCTTCTAGTGACTTCATGACTCTTGCATTCACAGGGCCACTTGTAAGTAAAATTGTCCAGGACCTGTTGTTTGGCCCTGAGGTGCAATATAACCACATAACTGTCCTTTTGGATGTTCTGAACTCCAAAACCAAATTACTGCATCCAAACTACCTCTTAGGAGTTATTCCTAATCCATTTTAATCCCTAAAATGTATGGAAGAATAGCATCTGACTCGTGCCAAAGCTTTTCAAAAGGCCATGCTACCAATTAATTGTATGAATAATCCTTTACTGATCCTTGGGCTGGGCCTGTGTAGCCAGCTGCTAAGACTCTACTCAGCTCCTTTTTATCAAATAACACTTGTAAGGACTCCAGACTTAATTTCTGATCAAGTGATACAATCAAAAACATACTGTAGTAGGAAAGATTTTGAGGAGTAATGAGAAGAAATACCTTCATTTAAAAGTGTTTGTCTTTGGAAGGTTGTTATGTAGATAGAATCCCAAAGGATAGTCACTTTTAAGTTCTCAGGGAGAAGCAGGTCAGGATGCTGGGTAGGGGCAGGGTTTGGGGAGCTGGAGTTGCACCCAAGTGCATCCTCCCAGTGCCATGGCAAGGGGAGAAGAGCAGGAGTGCTGGACTGGGGCCGATGGGGCCAAGCCAAGGGAGGTCATGGCAGTCATGCAGGGCCATCCCGACTCAGCAGCCTGGTCCAAGCATGGGCCAGAGCTCTGATGCAGCTCCCAAGTCAGAGCCTGAAGCCCCATCCTAGCTCCACAAAACTCTTCCTCATTAGCTTTGCTTTTCTCCTGGACATCTTATCCAAGATTCATCTTATCAGACCTGATCTTGAAAACAAATAGCAAACCCCGAGGAAGTGATGGAAGAGTTTGTAGATCTTGCACTCAGATCCCTGACAATACCATCATATTCATTCATTGGA